CGAAGTCCCTGTAACTTGAAAATCCACATACATGTATTGCTTTGGCAAAAAAAAAAAAAATTGTAAAAGGACACACAAGAAAATAAATTTCACAAGAGATTAGCAATATAATATGAACATATACTTTAGAAATCTGAAAGTGAACTCAAAAAAAATAATGTTGAAAAGGAGTTTCATTCTGTTGAGATCCTTTTACAATTTGACTTTTATTTATTTTTTTAAAGATTTTATTTATTCATCTGACAGAGAGAGACACAGCGAGAGAGGGAACACAAGCAGGGGGAGTGGGAGAGGGAACACAAGCAGGGAGAGTGGGAGAGGGAGAAGCAGGCTTCCGGCAGAGCAGGGAGCCCAATTCGGGGCTCGATCCCAGGACCCTGGGATCATGACCTGAGCCGAAGGCTGATGCTTAACAACTGAGCCACCCAGGTGCCGCTACAATTTGACTTTTAAAACTATTTCACATATCACTTTAATACAATTAAAAGACCTAAAGAGGGGCAGGGGTTGTCCAGGTAGCAAATGCCTGATGTGCTAGAAAAGTCGATGGGAGGGCAGAGTGAGATGGAGAGCTTTGGAGAGTTTGGGCTGGACAGGCAGGAAGTCAATTGGGCGGGGGGTGTTACTGAATACTTGAAGCAGGAGAACCACGTCAGCTGATTTGCCTTTTAGAGATGTTCCTTTAGCAGTGAGAAGGGGGTTCCCCATTGAAGAGACTTGCAGTTAGACAAGGTGATGCCTAGGAGAGAGGGTGCCTGACTGCCCCACGGCTGGTTCTCAGCTTTTTGAGAGACCTGTGAGATCCCTGGGCCAGGGTACCAACCTCTTTCTCCTCAGGGCACTGCTGGAAGGAGCCCTGTTCACAGTTGTCTTCAAGCCTCCTTTTTTTTTTTTTTTTTAAGATTTTATTTATTTATTTGAGAGAGAGCATGAGCAGGGGGAGGAGCAGACTCTTTGATGAGCAGGGAGCCCGATGCGGGGCTGGATCCCAGGACTCCGGGATCCTGACCTGAGCTGAAGGCAGATGCTTAACCAATTATGCCACCCAGGCGCCCCTCCTTCAAGCCTCCTTTAAAAAAAAAAAAATCTACATCCATGGTAGATTTCTCCTCTCTGTTGGACACCTGAATTTTTAGACATGTTACTCAACTCAAATCCTGACTCGAGGACCTGTCTCTTTCGGGTAACTTTGCATGTGTCATTTCTGATGTATTTTATGTTTATTAGTTTAGCTCTCAGAGGGTGGTCTTGTTTATCTAATTCCAGGTTCTTGGGGTGAGACACCTTATTGTTTCCCCAGATACTGTTTACAGGTGGCTCAGAGGACCAAACCCAGAGGCAGGGAACCAGTCAGGAGGCGAGGGTAGAAACCCCAACATGGCAACTCAAGAGCTTACCTTCTTTTCCATTATTCTGCCCTGTTATCCCCCTAAGTCCCCGAAAGGTTCAGGAACTTTCAATATTTTGCCATTTATTGTCCCATCTGCCAGATTGCTTCTTGTACCTGGAAGCAGCAGGGTCAAAATCTTTGGTCAGAAGAGCATGAGACTCTTGATCTCGGGGTCATGAGTTTGAGCCCCACATTGGGGGTAGAGATGACTTAAAATCCTAGGTCAGATTACATAGCCAAGTTTTTGGTTCAGAAAATGTGGTCACTGTACTCGCAGGCTTCAATAAGTTACTGTTTATTGAGAACCACTCCTGAGGTTAGGAATTGGCCCCGCTAAACCTTTTGAGAACCCCGGCGTCCTAAGTGGCCTTTCATTAGGAGAAGGCTGTGGGAGTAGCAGGAGAGATGGATCTCTTCTCCTGATATGGACTGATAAAGGGAGGCCTGGTACCTTGGGTCTTTGGGTCTCTATGTAGGCAGCTGAACCCAGTTGATACAAAAGAGAAACTGGCATTCTGAAGAAACGAAATATTTTAGGGCTTGATGATTGCCTGGAACTCAACTCGCATAGCCCCATTGTTTATAGATGAGGAACCAAAGTCCAGACAGCAGTGACTTATCCAAGTCTGTGCTGCCTCCCAAAGAATGGTGGCTCAGCTCCATGGAGTAAGAGGTAGACTGATCATTAGGCAGGGCATTAGCCCCAAAGAGGTAAAGCGCAGCAATAGTGATGATTGTTATCTACACATAATAATATACTAAGTGCATAAGGGGCTGTAAACCTCTGAGGTGGGATGCACCCCTACATTGAGGGTCACACGATGCCATACACTCTCAAACTAGTAAGAATCAGTCCACAGTGAGGAGAACTGGTTAATTCATTCTGCATCATGGCTCGGAGCTCTTTTGCTCCCTTAGCTGCCGTCTTGAGGACCGTAACACATCATATAGAAATGCTTTTGGAGGGGCGCCTGGGTGGCTCAGTCGGTTAAGCGTCTGCCTTCAGCTCAGGTCAGGATCTCAGGGTCCTGGGATGGAGCCCCGAGCCCCGCTCCCTCACCCAAGCCCTGCGTTGGGCTCCCAGCTCAGCAGGGAGTCTGCTTCTCCCTCTCCCTCTTCCCTCCCCCCACCCACTCGTGCTCTCCCTCTCTCAAATAAATATATAAAATCTTAAAAAAAGAGAGAAATGCTTTTGGAACAGAGGTGCATATGTGATAACCTCTCAGAACAAAGAACCCTAGAGAGGAAGAGTCGGTCTTGACATTAGGGAAGTAGGATAAGGGAACTCACCTTAACCGTGCATATGTGCCCAGCACTGAGCCCCTGGTACAGTGGAGGGTGGTGGTAAGAGCACAAGATTTGGGCTTCATGCCAAGCTCCCCTACTTGTATGATGCATGGCAAATCATTTCCACCTCTCTGAGTCTCAGTTTCGTCATCTTAAAATTGGACGAGCAGTTCCCACATTGCAGGACCAAAGTAAATAACATAAGGAAAGAGCCTGACACTGTGCCTGGTGCATAGCAGGGGCTCAGTGATCAGTCACATGATGATGGAGATGATTATATAGGTGGCTGATGCTCTCAAGTAGATTGGGGCAAAGGGGCCAGCCCGTGAGCTCCTGGAAGGTTCATATTCCCAGGTCTGGGTCTGATTAAGTGTGTGCTGGGGGTTGGGGATGGGGTGGGGGTGTGGCGAGAAGACGAGCCTGCCTGGAGCAGAGGACTAGTGTCAGGGAGAGTGGCTGAGGGGCTTGGCCTCAATTCTGTTGGCAGGTGGGGAGTCGTTGAAGTCAGACCCCTCCCACCTGGCACCTGTGAATAATTGGGCTGAGTCTCAGAAGCAATTTTGCTGCTGCAGAGTGAGATGGAAAGTTTTAATAAATGTGAAAAGGTGCTCTGTGGCCCTGGTCCTCTGTCCCTTTAGGGGGCTGTGAAGGCCAAAGGTTAGTGCCACCATCCTTGGCTGAACACGCATCATGTGCCACGCGGACACTGTGCTGGGTGGAGCCTCACAGCCACCTGAATCTCCCCCACCCCATTTTCCAAGTGAAAAAGCCGAGGCTGGGCATAGGGGAGTGCCTTCCCCAGGATTATGTGGCTAGTAAGTAGCAGAACTGGGTGCCTGGGTGGCTCAGATGGTTAGGCATCTGCCTTTGGCTCAGGTCATGATCTCCAGGTCTTGGGATCGAGCCCCACGTCCAGCTCCAGGCTTAGTGGGAAGTCCGGGGAGTCTGCTTCTCCTTCTCCCTCTGCCTCTCCCCCCTGCTCATGCTCTCTCTCTCTCTCTCTCTCTCTCTCTCTCTCTGTATCTCTCTGTCTCAAATGAATAAATGAAATCTTAAAAAAAAAAAAAAAAAAAGAACTGGGAGGGCTGTACTCACCCAGTTAGAGCTCCAGCACCCTGATGCTTGCCTGCCCCCCCTCACCCGTGAGGGCTCCATTCACTCTTCTAACAAGTACTCCCTGCTGAGGTCCACCTCCCCTCCCTGTGCATCCCTCTATCATTTTGCACCCAACGTAGATGATGCTCCTCTCACTGAGGTTGAGTCTTGGTTCCCTCACCTAAGGACAGAGCCGATGATGATACGTGTTATCTCTGTATTCTCCGCAGGGCAAAGGCAGGGCGGGGAGTGGGGAGGGGTGTAAAGGAGGAGGAAGAAGACTAAGGGGATGAGAAAGGCGGCTTCCCACAGTTTCCCACTTCTTCCAAGTTCCCTGGTCCTTCTTCCTCCCCTTCCCCACCCCCAAGGCACGGGCTCCACTGTCCCAATCCTCCCCCCAACCCACCACACACACCCCTCTGAAGAGAAGCAACCAGAGGGGTGTGGTTCAGATTTCGCTCATCCCCTCAGTTCCTTCAAAGCTGTCCTCCACTCCATTCTCTTCTCTCGCCCTTCCTTCACCTCTGAGGGGGCCTCACAATGAAGAAGGCAGACCAATGTAGTAGAAAGGAGCCCAGCAGCTGACTCACTTACCCCCTCAGCCTCTTTCTCTTCATCTAGAAAATAAGCAGGTTGGACCAGGCAATTGGCAAAGCCTTTTCTATGTTGTTAATAATACCTGGCATTTGTCTGCTGGGTTCCAAAGGGCTTAATCATCCCAACAGCCCTGCCAGGATTGGCCTTGGGTTCCAAGTGGGGAGACTGAGGCTCAGGTCCTGAGAAGGGAAGGGGCTTGCTTGGGTCACAGGGCTGGTATGTGGCAGAACCAATTTCCCAGGCTAGGTCTCTCTGTGTTTAAAGCTTCGGCTGTGCCCTGGCCCATAGCTGCAGGCTGCCTCTTAGCCACTTGGGTTTGGGCCTCACTTCTCCCTCCTGAGCCACCAGGCTCCACATGGTTGGTTCCTGGCACCTCTCTGACCTCACCGCCTACCACTCCTCTCCTTGCTCGGTCCACCCCAGCCACACTGTCCCCCTCCCTTTCCCAACAACCCGGCCAGGTCCTTCACCATCTCCCAACCTCCGCACTGGCTCTTCTCTGCATGAAACACCCTACCCCTCACGTTCGTGACATGTGTTGGGCCGCAAGGCCATTGCATAGGGCACAGGGAGAAGAAGCATGGAGAGCATATGGCTGATTGTTGGGTTTTTTCTTCTGTTTCCCTTTCAGATCTGACGGTGAGAATTCCAGGACAGTCAGGTCAGTACCCCCTTTCTCTAGTAGCAGTTGGGAGATGGGACAGGGACTCGGGTGGGGCCCTCTGGTTTGTTACGTGGGGAAGCCACGGGCAGGGGTGGGGGTCAACCCCAGGGGTTTTGTCCCATTGGTATTAGGAGCAGGTATGGAGCCAAGTGGGAGGGCTGGGGTGAGTGTGGCAGGCGTGGGCAGGAGGTTGAAAACTGTTCCTCAGTCTCTCTGACCCTAGCTCCTCTGGGCTGGGCTGAACCTCAAAGGGGCTCATGGTTGCTGCCCTGATGGGGAAGCCAACCCACAGAGAGGCTGACTCTGGACCTGGGACCTTCTCCACCTTCTTTCAGGAGAAGGGGGCATGAGAGAAGCAGGGCTTCCCTGGTCTAGTGTTGGTGCTCCACCCCGAACTGCGCTGGCCCTGAGTAGTGGGATCCGGGTGGACTTTCGATGTGACACATTCTACACATTAGAAACACACATTATGGTGACAAGGGCACATTTTTTATTTATGTGCTTGCTAAAAAGGGCTTACAAGCTTCAGTAAGTTGTCACGGTGCGAGCAATCTGCCACTTGGGGAGGTGGGAGTAAAACTGGGGTAAACACAGGGGCTCTTTGTACCTTTCCCAGGCCTTAGCCCATCAGAGGCCTCGTGAAGACACAAGTATCAAGGACAGGGTCTAAATGGGAATGATGGGGGACTCAGGCTAGGGCCCATTCAGTCTTAGCATCTAGGCCAGGGGCGATGCAGTGGGCCTCTGAGAAGAGAGGGGCCCAGGCAACCGAGGCATGGGATGGGTACACTGTGTCCCAGCCAGGGCTGCCCAGTGCCTAGCTAGCATACACGGTGCCTTTGGGAAGGGTGGAATCCACTGAGCAGATCAGTGGGAGGAATGTGTCCTTCTTACACGGATACTGCGGCCTCTCACCAGGATTCCCGGCTCAGTGAGCAGAGCACAGGTTGCATGTCAGCCCCCGTTTGTGGCCTCTTGTCTGTGAACCCTTGCGCAGGGCACAACTTACCCAACCGTATGCAGCAGCCCGGGTCCTGCCATTCAGGCAGTGGATGTGGGAAGGGGAGCTGAGGATCCCAGCATACGGCCGGGAGTGTGTAATGGGACACACCGTGTCCTGGCATCCCAGGCAGGGGCCGTGGGATCAGCCTGCTGATGCCTAGGGCCAAGGTAGGGGCTGTGGCCGTGTGGGAAAGCAGGGGACTGTGAGGGAGGCAGTCAGGCCCAGTGTCCCGGCAAAGAGTATGTGACAAGATGCAATTAGTCCCAGCACGCAGCCAAGGAGTAAGGCATGGGCACAGCCTGTCCTAGCATTTAGGAAGGTACTAGTCTAGCAAAGGCACGGATCCTACTGTCCCACTGCGGGTTTGGAGAAAGGCAACGGGGCATGGCTCTGAGCACAGGCCCACAGGCCTCCCCACTGATAGCCCTGCTACTCGTCAAGGAACCTGATCAAAGGCATCTCCAGCTCCCAGCTCTCCCCAGCAGGGAAGTTCCTGGGACCTGTAGCTTGGGGTATTTACTACTGCTCATAATCATGAGTCATGATGACATGCCTTGGGCCTTTACAACTTACAGAAGTTGTCAGGGACTTTCTTTTGTTTGATCCTCCCAGTGACCTTGTAGGTGGAACCTGGGCTGGCCTTATCATCGCTGTTTTATAGTTGAAGAAACTGAAGCTTGGGCTGGTTATGGGTTTTGCCCACAGCCACGCAACGAAGAGATAGATGGCTGGGCCAGGATTCAAACCCAGGTCTGCCTGGCACCAAGCCCAGAGCCCTGCCCACACTGCCACTGCGGGGGCTCTTGACAGCCTTGCAGATAATAATAATCCTCCTCATCATCATCCTAATATTAGTAATAATAGTGGCTATCATTTGCTTCTCACATATTAAGAACTCTGAACATGATCTTATTGAATGCTCACAACAGCCCTGTTAGACGGGGATTGGGATCCCTGATTTACAGATGAGGAAAATGAGGTGCCCCAGAGGGTCACCGCCTTGCCCGAGGAAAGAAGAGCAAGAGGTCAGGGTGGCATCACCCTGACTCACACCTTGTGCTGTCTGGTTCTAAAGCCAGCATTTGTTTTACTAAGACATGCTTCCTGACATCCGTCCCGGGCCCACAGTCCAGGAGGCTACGGGGGTCTTGAGGACTCAGCAGTTGAGAAGCAAGGGTCACACCGGGCTGTGGGAGGGTCCTAAAGCATAGCACCTGTGGGGCAAGATCTGCCAAACGCGGTAGGAAGACCCCGGACCTTGGAACCAGGGCTGGGGTGGGGCCGTGTGGGGATGCTCCCAGGACCGCACATAGATTCTTGAGCTTACTTCAGTGAGGGGCCCGGGAGAGCTTCCTGGAGAAGGCAGAATCTGATCCGAGCTGTGGAGGACTGACAGGCCGACTCTGCATGGCGTCGGCGGTGGTGGTGGGGGGGGTTTGACATCCCTGCAAGTGGGACCAGCGTGCATCAGAAGCGAGGACAGGATCAGAGAGGGCACAGTGGGTTGGGTTGAAACAGATCTGGGCAGGAAAAGAGGTAATGTTAAAGTTGCGAACACGGACAGGGGCTGGTCAGATACCGTCTGTCATCGGTGGGAGCCAGGGAAGGCTGGAGGAGAGAGACTGGGCTCTGCAGGGTAGCAAGGGCAGTGACTGGATCCGGGCAAAGGGCTCCATTTCTGGCCAGGTCACTTTCTAGTTATGTGACTTTGGACAAATCTGTTCATTCCCTTTGGTTTAGGTGGGGAGAAGACCCGCCAAGGAGAGGGGCTAGGCCTTGGCTATTGTGGCAGCAAAACAGCAAGGAGGGAGCAGGGTCAGTAGATCGAAAACCAGCGGGGCCTGAGGGCTTCTAAGTATGGGGTGCCAGAGGAAGTGTGGAGTCTAATTAGAGCTGAACAGCTGGTGTTGTGTGAGGGCTGTGGCCAGAGGAAGGTGCCCGGACTTCCTGTGGATTTGGGAGAAGTTGTCAAGCCTACGGGCACTTGAAACCGAGGTCCGCAGAGGGCATTGGCTCAAGTTCACAAAGCATGGCTCTCAGCGGAGCCTGCCTCCTAGCTGTGCGCTCTCTGCAAAGTCCCTGAACTTCTCTGATCCTTGGCTTCCTCATTGGTGAAATGGGGACAACAATTCTGACTTCTCTGGGTTAGATGAGAGAAATGAAAGTAAAACAGTGTTCAGCATATAATAGTGCTCAATACAGGGTAGTGCCCTCTGCCCTCCTCTACCCATTGTCTTTTACTGGATAGTCAAGCTTGAGGAATGTGGAGATGCCTCCCTCCCTCAGAGGTAGGAGGGGCCGATACCTCTGCCCCCAGAAGCCAGAAGCCGAGGGATCCTAGGTTTGAAGGCCCTGCCGCGGTAGGGAGGGCCAGGCTGAAACTAGGGGGCCTTGGGGACCAGGCTGGGGTTGCCAGGCACGCAAGGATGAGAGCCGAGGAGGTGGCCTGTTGCTAGGGAAGGAGGGAGGAGGTGGGGGGAGCCACTGACACCCGCAGAGCCTGGGATGTCCCCATGGCAACGGCAGCGGGGAGGAGAAGTGGGAGGAGGAGCCCCTGCTGGCTCGGTTCCCAGAGGAGGCCTCCCACTCTGGGCCTCAGTGCCCCCATCTGTCCGACGAGAGTTTGCATTAGATAATCTCCAAGATTCTTCCTTGCTTTGACCTCCTGGCAATCTGGGGTGGCTGAGACCTCATGGACCTTCCGAGGCTCCCGCGGCCACATGTCTGAGACGCCACCAGTCCCTGGAGGCGAGCCAGCTTGTCTAAGTCTTCCCTCCCATGCTGCGTCCACCTCCTGTTCGGTGGCGTAACCTGCTTGCCCGCCCTGCCCAGCTCCCTGTTCCCAACACGTCCTGTGCCTGGAACCCTGTCACTTAGTGTCTGCTGAATGCTTTCTGGCTCTGGGGGCTCAACTCTAGTCCTGCTCACTCTGGGAAGCCTCCCCTGGCTGCCCTGGTCCACCCCGCCTGCTTCCTCCCTCCTGGGATGCTCTGGCCCCAAAGGTCTGAGCTCCTCCTTGCTGCCATTTACCTGGCAGCTTCTAAGGGCTGGGCTCCACCCGGGATGCTTGACAGGCTCAAATCTTTACAGTAGCTCTCTGGCGTCACATCACGAGTCCCCTTTGGCCTATGAGGCAGTGCTCCGTGAGCTTATGTGACTTTGTTTGAGGTTCCCCGGGCACTGCGTGGCAGGACCGGGCCTGGAACCTGGCTCTGTGTCATTGCCACTCCGCCAGGCCTGAGGTGGGGTGTCAGGAGCAGCTGCATTTAGTGAGTGCTATTGCTGAAGCTGTCATATGCCGGGCACCCTGCTGGCCACTTTACCTATACTTTCTCATTTAATCTCCATAATAATGCTGGCGGCTGTATATTCTTGTCATTTTACCGGTGAGGAGACTAATGGGAGCTGAAGTTATTTACCCCGCAGGAGAACTAGGATAGGCATTCAGACCATCAGAGTTGCCGTCCCCACACTATACTGGAGTCAACCCGACTGTATTCCAGAAGCACATGGACAGGTGTACTAGACCTGTGTTGGGTGGTCTGTCGGGGGCGGGGGTGGCAGGACAAAAGCGGGGTACAGACACCAATGAGCCGGCTCTGGCAAGCCCATATGGGAGCGTGCTGAAGAGGAGAAGCCAGTTGTAAGGACTAGAGTCGGGAGTGGGTAGAGCTGGAACGACAGTGGGATAGAGGAGGATGGGGGGGGGATGTTGGGTAATTTTCCCAAAGGAGGTGCCATTCCAGGAAGCTCCTGAGGGACAAGAAGGGGTAAGAGGGTCTTCCCTCCCTTCCTGTTTTGCGTTCCCCTGCCTCTGCCTGGCCCAGCCCCAGGAAGCGGGTGACCCCTGAGCTGGCTGTGTGCCTGGTTGGCACCAAAATAAACTTGCCTTCTCTCTCTTCCCCTCCCCTTGCCTCTGTCCCCTCTGTCCTGGCTTTAATTAGCAGCCCTGGGGATGAGTCATTTGGCAGCTGGGGCGGGAGGCTGCACAGAG